TTGGCCTGACAGGCTGCACTTCTGACACCTCTGTTGCGCCCTGGTTCTTGTCGAACTCAGTGAGAGACAGGGCGCTGTTCAGAGTGTTGCTGATGGGCTTTCCTCTCTGGGGGTGAGCCGAGCAGCAACCAGGCTCTGACCGGTGCTTTGCCCGGTGTCCTTGCCGAACTCAGCAGGAGCCAGGGTACTCCTCAGAGGGCTGTTGCGCACTCAGCTTCTCCCAGGGATGGGAAAGCCGAGTGGCAATGCCACATGCTAGAACATCTCCCTCTCAGTGGTGGAAGCACCGCCTCCTGCACTTCCACCACCTGAGGCAGGTGCATCACCATGTGCCATGGGTGGAGCAGCTCTATTTAAAGGCAAACTTACCTAATTCACATGTTCTGAAACAAGGTGCGGACCAAAAGCCAGCCATCCTTCGAAATTCACACTTCCCCCAGATTTTGCCGTGCAGTTCTCCTGCCAAGTAAGGTGTACAAAAATGCATATGCTACGCTGAAGTATGCAGAGAAATGCATAGCTTAGTGAAAATAGCATAAATTAATGCACTGTATTAGGGAAATTTTTGTGGGGGGGAGTGTTTATCGGGCAAAATTGCATATAAAAATGTGCTTATTGGGAGAAAATGTCACTCACATGCTCGTGAATTTTCATGAGGGAGGCCTTAAAAAAAACAAAACCCTATTGTTGGGGATATCTGTAGAGCTGAAATTAAGATTGGAGATGTAAGATTGTTTCCACCCTGACCTCTGTGCATTGATGATGTTTTGTGAATAGAGACTACAAATACACAGAGCATGCCCTGCAGCAGGGTTAGGCAACCCATGGCCCTCCAAATGTTGTTACAGCCATACACTGTTTCGTGGCCGGAATCCATTTTGGAGCCCCGGCCACTAGCCGAAAAGGACACCGGGGAAAGCACCATGTCTGTGCATGCGCATGGAGCAGTTTGTACTTCTGCACAGGCACAAGCGGCAAACCCGGAAGTAACCTGTTCCAGTACTTCCGGGTTTGCCGTGAATATTCGCTGGAATGGACGCTAGACAAGGCGGACGTTCTCGGAGGTATTACTGTATTCTTATGTTCCCATTAAATAGGACAATGGGCAGGAACAATATCAATTGTAGCCCAGCAATAACCAGTTGGGGCCACAAGCTTTCTGTCCCTGGGACAAAAGTCCACACAGACCACACCTCCTACGTGAACCCAGTATTTGCAGACTTGGGCTGTGAACATAAGACACAGTTGCCGCATGGAGGTGTCAGAGGTTGGGCTTGACAATGTGATGTGTTGATTGCCCATACATGTGTTGGGAGAATGGGGCTAATTTTCGTAATTTTGCTTTTGGAGTCAGGCCTGCCAGAATAATGTGCACATTATTAAAAAGCGAGTACCCCCATGGATTTACACAGGGACATTGCAGCACTTCCCATTTCACAGGCAGTCCCAGGCCAAAATGATCCCGAGAATATCACACTTATCCTAATGCATGCGAAAAGGACCGATTTCCCAGCAATGAGAAATTCTTGGCTTCTCATAGCCGATCCATCTTTGGCCTGTCCCCTTTTGTGTGAAAGCATGGTTGTTTATTTACAGATAAATCTTGTTTCTTACTTTCAGGCATGAACGGCGAATGCTGTCTCCGGCTGTTACTAATGATCCCTTTTCTGCTGCCTGGTTTCCTTTTCTGTCTGCATGGTAAATTCAGCTGCGCTCGCTGAGCAGAAGAGACGGAGGGGATGACCCCACCAGATACACATCTCCACATTTTTGATCTTCCCACTGGAAGGCCAGTCATTCATCTCACATCTTGAAATCTGCACGCATGCCATGCGTTAACAGAGCCCTGCCATGCAATCAGGCAAACAGAAAACAGCACCTTATTGAAAAGCAAAACAGGATGGTTAAAAATAACCATCATATATTAAGCCTGCCTTCTTATGTGCACTTACTCAAGACTTCTTCAAGCTCTGTTGGATTTACTCTGGAGTAAGCAGGCACAGGCTGTAATGAGTGTTTATCAAATAAGTAACTTCCCTTTCCCTTAATTATAGAGTCTTTTAGTTATTTCTTCACTCTAAGTGTTGCTGGTCTACTTTGCTGAAAGTTTGGCCAAAGCAAACATTTCCCTTGTGATGTTCATTTTACATCTAAGTCCTCAAGCTCAACAGCACTTTTCTTCTCTTCTTCTTCTCTTCTTTATGATTTTCAGTTTTATACATTTCAATAATTTTACAATCATTTTCACATTTCACAAAGTTCGACTTCCTTCCCCCCTTTCTGCGGTTCCTTAAATTTCTTTTTTATATTTTCTGCATATTCCAAATTAACTTAATTTTCTCATTTATTCATCTACTTTAAATATATACTCTTATAAAACTGCAGGTTATCACAATAACCCTGCCAATGTTCTTATCTTTTTACAATTTATTTGTAAATATTTAATAAACCATTTCAATTCTTTTATATTAAAAAAGTTGGTTATCTTGATTTCTTATTTTTTCTGGCGAGTTTTGCAATTTCTGCATATTCCATAAGTTTTTGTATCCATTCTTCTTTCATTGGGACTTTTTCTTCTTTCCATTTTGGGGCACTTTTCTTTCAATGCGTTATCAGTGGCGAATGGAGCCCCCTGTGACTGGTAGGGCAAAAGGAAGGGAGGTGAACAGTAGGTGGAGCCAGAGGCAGTGACAGGCAGACTCTATCATCACTTCAAGAAAGAAAAGGACAGAATTCTCCTCTCTGGGTCATTGCAATAACAATCAGGTTGCAAAATCTCTTTCCTAGAATGGATCATGAGGAGTATGCTCTCGGAATGTTTGCTGCTTTGAATTAATGAATTTTGATTGTCATTGAAGGCTGTTATCATAGTGTGGTCTATTCTAGGAAAATGAATATTTAGCAACTGAGTGGGGTATTCAATGCTAGTCCTACTCAGAGTAGGTCTATTCAAGTTCATATACATGACTTACTTATGTTCATCATTTTAATGGTCCTACACTGACTTAGTTGAATGCCACATTGAGTGTTATTGTACTGTATTACTTACTGAAATTGACACTTGGGGTTTGTTTGTTTTTTGTTAGATTGATTATTTGTATTTTCTAATTAAATTCAATTTGCTTACTTATTAAATATATATAGCTGCTTATCCATAAATACTCCCTGGGTGGCTTACAAACAAATTAATTAAAATGCAATCTGTAAGAGTTAAAATCAACAGTAAGCAGGGAAAGACTGCAAAACCACCACCACCACAAAACTTCCTTGCAACCCAGATAGCATAAGGCAATTTACAGCCTAGATTTAAGACACAAGTTGGAAGTCTGGGTGAATGAATAGGTATTCACCTATTGCCAAAAAGATGTTATACAGTGAAGATGACAGGCAAGTGTCTCTGGGGAGGTTATTCCATAGCCAAAGGCCTTGTTTTTGACAGCCCGGAAATGGACTGTTGGTTGCAATTGTCTAGTATTGTTAGGAGTGATACCGTTGTTCATGTATTTAATAATATTTGTTATTGGTTGGATGTATACCGCTTTTAGTACCCAGAAAGGGCTATACAAATAGGGTGGCCGCATAACCCAGTTCACAGGTGACAGGCCTGATTCTGAAGAGATTTGGAATGCAATACAGTGTGTTACCTCAGTTGTCGAACGCAATCCGTTCCGGAAGACCGTTCGACTTCTGACACGTTCAACGGGTTTTCAGCATTCGGGTTCCAAAATGTTTGACGGCCCCTACGAGTTGGCTCCTATACCAACTTGGCTGCAGAAGTTGCCGGAAGGAGACGTACAAAGTGCCATCCAACCGTCTTAGGGACTCGGCTCTGGATTTGTGTAGTGTTTACTCTTTAGCCTTTTCTTCTCCTGAAGATATCCTGCAGGGCAACAGAGGTTTAGGATCAGAGTTTTCTTTCTCCTAGGTGGGCTACCTTCCCAGGTCAATGAGCCCCATCTGCTCCTCAATTCCCTCTATAGCAAGTGCAGAAACTACCTTTTTGACCACTGGACCCACTATTGGTCTTTTCTGCTCAATCCGCCAAAGCCTGTCTTCGCAAGCAGGGCAAGTCCCTAACTCACTGGTGTGTGTGTGGTTTTATTAGTGCTGAGCAAGTATCTTTATCCATTTAATGCATTTTGAACACAGCCAAAACACCAGCAGCAGCAGCAACAGCAACAGCGACGACAACAACAACAACAACAACAGCATGCTGTTTTGGAAACGATATTGTATTTTAGAAAGCAAAGAGCTAGGACAATTCCTCCACCCTCCACAGTGCTTATTTGGGGGTGATGAACTGTTTCCCTTGTGTGTGTGCGTGCGTGCGAGTGTACACACACACACACACACACACACACACACTTTTGCTTTCTCCTGCATTACCATAAACGCATTCGATGCAGAAAGAGATTGAGGAACAGAAAACATTTCGAGATGAGAGACAGAGAGACAGACTGCGGGCCGCTCTCCTTGTTCCTGCGTTACCTGTCCCTTGAACTGACAGCAGAGGGTGAAAGCTGGCATTCAATACAAGGGAGATGGACAGCCTTTCAAATCTTCCAGGAGGTCAAGAGGGGGAAGGGAGAAGGGAGCTTGGCAGGCAACAGCTCCTGCCGGCTCCTGCCTGTCAGTTTGGTGGCACAAACCCACCAATACACTTCAGCCATCAAACATCTGCTATGTTGCTTTTAATGAGGCCATTACTTCCCATATGTGTGGCATTATGGCTCGATTTTAACTTGTTCTGTCTTGCGAGGGAGGGAAGAGAATCGGCGTCGGCGCGGCACATACAGCCCTAAATCAATATGAAGTTGTTTCTGCTAAGGTGGAAAAGGCATGTGATTGGCGTGCTGTCAGTTTCCTAGCCCATCTGCTCCCTGAGGGCCTGGAAAGGGTAATCGTGCTCGCCAGCACAAAGGCGAGAAGCAGCAGAATGTTCAGCCAACCCACCATTTCAAATCCGGAATTGGAACATAGGAAAACTGCCCTCTGCAGTCAGATGATTGACCTCTCTAGCTCAGGGCTGGCAATGGGGAGCCTGTGACTGGCCAAGTGTTGTTGGACTCCATTTCCCATCTTCTCTGAACATTGGCCATGCTGGCTGAGGCTGATGGGAGTCAGAATCTAGAGAGCCATAGGCGATGCCCTGAGTCCCTTCCGGTTCTTCGAATTCTGTATCTGTGGGGTTGAATTCGTGAGAGCAAGCTTGCCCAATCGCTTCCTGTGTCTAGGTAATGGTTTTGGCTGACCACTGCACTTGGCACTGCACTTAGCAACGCCAAATAACTTGCCCTGTGCCATAGAGCAAATGGGCAGACCTTTTCCTCACCCCTCACCTAACCACTAGGTAGGAGAACAAATGCCAGTGTTGTGTCTGAGCTGAGTTGGAAGCAGACTGGAAGCTGGAGACACAGAGACATGCTTGCTCTGTGCTGGATCCAAAGTTGTGACCAATGGAGAAGCAAGATATTTTGGGGTGTCAATGCTGTGAGTCCCTCCATCCTATGCTCAGGTTGTGTATACATGTAAATAAAAGCATATATCTTAAAGACTCCATAGTCTCTTCTGGCCTTCATCCCAAGGAAATGCCTGGAACCCCTGGAATCTCTCAGAGATTGGGGGTGGCATGCAACAAGATATTAGATGTCCTTTCTGGCCCAGAAATATCTGAAAGAGATTTAGTGCTACATTGAAGACATTCCCAAGCAGGCAAGTCGAGTAAGACATCAGAGTGCAAAAGGAAATCTTCCTTACAATCCCTCTGTAAATGAAAGCTGTGTGCCCTTCCCATGTATAATTGGCTGCTAGCGAAAGCTCTTGTAATCTCAGAAAATGCAGCTGGAAAATATGTTGCTTAGCTTTCAGGGCACTTTACAAAGGGGATTCAGCCTCCAATGTTGTTAGGGGCTGCATAAAGACCTTCCCACAAAGTCCTGGATTTGCTCGTCTGCTTGCTTAGGAAGGTATGTGAGATGATGATGATTCTCCTTGCTCTCAGAAGGTGTTCTGCAAAACTAGAGCATCACTGGGCTTTAGATAATTGAGGCTTTACATTTCAAACACACCAAAACACCAGCCACTGCAGATCCTTGGCAGCTCTGAGGAAATCCTTGATCGCTCTGAGGAAAGAGCCAACGATAGTGAACAAAAATCTGGAGCATGCTATGTCTTAAACTGATTTGAGTGTCTGGAGTTTGTCTCACATGTGAGTGACCTCCAAGCCCTCCCTGAATGCCTGAGTAGGGCAGGGAGGAACAGGGCACTCTAGACCAGTGTGTTCCCAAACTTTGATCTCCAGATGTTTCTGGACTACAACTCCCATCATCCCGAGCTAGCAGAACCAGTGGTCAGGGGTGATGGGACTGTAGTCCAAAAGCAGCTGGTGACCTAAGTGTGAGAAACTCTGCTCTAGACCCTTGGAAATGCAGCTAGTGTCTGAGTTGAATATTTCTGCTTGGGAAAGCAAGCACAAGTACAAAGGGCAAGTGTAATGTCTCAGATGTGAAGGGCAGAGAAGTGTCGTTTTTATGTGCTCGTCCCTTTAAAGCAAGTGAAAGTGGGAAATGATTGGGCACCTGTTTCTGTATGATTGAAAGTTTTTCCCAACCTGGTGCCTCTCCAGATGTTGTTGGACTGAAGGGTCCCATCATGCCTGAGCACTGAGCATACCAGCTAGAGCTGGTGCAAGGCCTGGGAGGCTGGGATAAGCAGTTTTAACAATAGATATGTGCACATTTCACATGCTGTAAAAGTGAGTGTACATGGAGGGCCAGTTTCTACAGTGGAATGCAGTGGTGACACTTTTCAGCAGGAGCTGATGGTGTGGTCAGGCTGCAATGCCCACCTGATCTCCCTCCTGATGTCCCAAAGTGGAACAGAGAGGGGGGGTCAGCACGATGCAAACATACCTGCAGGAAGAAGCTTGCGCTGATGTAGCAATCTCCTTAGCACTGCACTGAATTCCCCCCTGCCGTTTAAATAGAAATACAATGCATCTCACTACAGAGGGGAAGACAGCAACAGGGTGATCTGTGTACCTGCTCAGCCTGCTCTGTTGATGGGGAATTGCAAGACCTCTACTCTCTCTCCTTCTCTACTCTCTCTCCTTATGGTTCTTTATCTTTAACCAAACCTGGACCGGGCAGCCCCGCAAATAGAAAACTCCTTCAAATTGAGGTCGGTCCCTTATAAAGTAGGGCACATGGCCACCCTATGCTGCCAGACATTGTGAGCCATCTTGAGTTATATCACCTGTAATCATCCAGTTGTTCCTGGACTACAACTCCCATCATCCCTGAGCACTGGCCAGGTTGTTGACTTGGGATGATGGGAGCTGTAGTCCAGCAACATCTGGAGATCCTCATACATTTTAAATTGCAGTTAAAGACATAGAATCATGACCTAGTTGAGAAGTAACAATCCCATGGATTGGTTGGCAAGAGTTAATGGATCCAGCTCCTGAGAAGGCTTCTGTAACTAGGCATGGCTTCTTTCTCACACACGCATACCCTGCCCCTACAATGCTTCAGAGACCAAAATTACACTTGGTGAGGGTTCTCTTTGTCCTACAAATCCTAACAGTACACTAGTCCATTGTCTTGGACACCATAGGTCAGCCTTCGTCAAGCTGGTGCTCTTCAGATGTTGTTGGAGTCCATCTCCCATCGGCCCCAGCCAGCATGGCCAATGATCAGGGACTTTCATTTTCATTTGTTTTGACAATTTGTATCCTGCTTAATTACAGTCTTCTCTAAGTGGGGTACAGCAGACTCAGTACAATAAAAGATGCCCCTGACATTTTCAGGTTGGGCTGGGAATGTTCCCTGCCTGAAAGCCTGGCGAGATCCTGCCAGCCAGTGTAGACAACACTGTGGTAGATGGACCAGTGATCTTACAAGGTATAATTCACCTTTTTTTATGTTCCTATGAAGGGCCATAGGTTTCTGAACCCTGTGCTAACTCCGGCATTCGTTGAATGAAAGCTCATGGCTAATGCAAAAGAGCTACTCCTCAGTCCCTTCCACATACAAAGTGCATCTAGGGCTAGGCTGACTATACCCTTCCAGCCATTCATTCATTCATTCATTCATTCTTGTTTATTTGCTGAATCCAAGGAGTTCAACATGGCATACAAGTGTGGTGATCGCACAGGGTCCCTGGATGTTTCACCATCTATTGATCCCTGTGCCACCACTTTATTTCTCGCTGCCACCACCCAGGCCCTACCTGGGACAATACTGAGTCCAGTCAGGGTTAAATTGAAACATAAACTTCTGTTTATTTCTTGCAGTTTAACAAGCATATAGTTTCATAAACAGTATCAGTCAATTACATTCATCGGGTGCCTATCCAGACCTCTAACTTCCACTACCTGCTCTCACTCACTAAACCACCTCTCAGATATTTACTTGTCTGCCTAGCCCCTAACTGTTCCTGACTCAGCCTATTTCGCTACACTAACTCAACCTACCCACAAACTCTATCCCAATTAACTCCCACTCCAACCAACCACCCAAATGCCAACGAATTCTCCCCTTCGCCCCTCCCAGAGCTGGTCTTATAGTCCCTCTGACTCCACCCCCCTGGGTCCTGACTGGGCAACCTGTTTAACTATTTCACCTCCAGCACTCTCTCATATGTTAACATCACAACTAGGTCCTCTCTCTCTCCTGGAAGGTAGGTTGAACTGAGAGTTTGTGACTGGGGCCAAGGTAGCCCAAGGAGCTTCATGGCTGAGTGGGGATTTGAACCCTGGTCTGCCATGTCCAATGCTCTAACCACTACATAGACAAGTTTCCTTTCTCTTGGAGATTTCACCCAATACAGCTACCCGATGGTTTGTTTTGAGAGCTCCTTTGGCTCTAGCAAGGCAGTGACCTTCAGAGCATCTTGAAATGGCCCATTAGTTTCTGTAGGCACTTGAGGGGAGAGAAGGATGATGACTGGGTGCTTACGACTGAAAGCTTACTTGGCACGCAGCCCATCTGTGGCTGCCTTGATTTAATTAATGATTTACATTTTATTCATGTGTGATGGCTGCCAGCAGGGAATCATACCAGAAGTTAAACAGAGGGGCCTCTCCTTCGAGGCTGGATGTATAAAATCCAAGATCCGTCCTAATTCCCAATAATGGAAAGTTTAAAAAATCTTAAAGCTTCTGCGTGCTCCCCTGAATATCTACCAATATGTTTATTTATTTTTATTGGATTTATATATCACCCTTCATCAAAAGATCCCTGAAGGGGATAAAATACAAGATGAAAGCACAAATAAATAGTTTAGCACAAACAAATACAGTGGTACCTCGGGTTAAGAACTTAATTCGTTCCAGAGGTCCGTTCTTAACCTGAAACTGTTCTTAACCTGAGGTACCACTTTAGCTAACGGGGCCTCCCGCTGCTGCCGCGCCGCTGAAGCACGATTTCTGTTCTCATCCTGAAGCAAAGTTCTTAACCTGAGGTACTATTTCTGGGATAGCAGAGTCTGTAACCTGAAGCGTCTGTAACCTGAAGCGTCTGTAACCCGAGGTACCACTGTAGTCAACAGTGCCTCTTTAATAATAATAATAACAATAATTTTTATTTATACCCCGCCCTCCCCAGCCAAGGCCGGGCTCAGGGAGGCTAACAAGCAATAATAAAAACAAGTTGAATGAATACAACTTAAAAACAAGATTAAAATACAACATTAAAATATTGAAACATTAAAATGCAGCCTCATCACAGGAGGAGAAAGGAAAAAGAAAGAAAGTTTCATAAGAGGCAGAAACTCAGCTGGTGCAGTGATGGATTAGGAAGACAGCAAGCTGCCTTATACTGAATCAGACCGTCAAGACCATGGTAAGAAACCTGCTGGCTCAGGCCAGTGACCCACCTTGCCTAGCATCCAGGTCTCACAGTAGCACAACAGCCAACCAGATAACAGTGGAATACCCAAAAATAGGACCTGAGCAGAAGAGCACTCTCCCCTCATTTGGCTTGCAGCAACTGGTGGTATTCAGAGACTGCCCTCAAGAACATTCAGAGACTGCCCACAGAACATAGCCAAGGCACAGTCTGACCAACTCCTTTGGTAATCCTCATAGAACTCTAGCCCAATGGTTGCCATTAATTTGATTCTGAATTGATAGAATGAATTGAATGTATTTCAATTAATTGATTGTGATTTTATGTAAACTGTGTTGTTTTTACAGTTGTTAGCCACTCTGAGCCAGGCTTTGGCTGGGGAGGGCGGGATATAAATAAAAATATTATTATTATTATTATTATTATTATTATTATTATTATTATTATTATGGTTCACAGTTGTTGAGGGAGCAAATTCTAGAGCTAAATTCTATGCTGTGTGAAGAAGTACTTTCTTTGTCCGTTCTGAATCTTCCCACAATCAGCTTCATTGAAAGTCCACCAGTTCAGATGAGAGAGGGAGGGAAACTGTCTCTTGGCGCCTTTCCAATCTTAAGTTTGCCATATTTCCACATTGTTTCCTGCAAATTTGTCTTTCAAAGTCCTCACAAACTTCAACATCAGCTTTGTGCCTATTTCTTCCTGATATGCATATTTTTGCAAGCGTTCTGCCTGATATGCATTTTTTGCATGTCATTTTTCACAAATAGACCTATATTTGCCCCAAAGTGTGCATTTTTGTATACATATTCTTTTCTGGAGAGCTGCACTGCTCAGTAGTGCAAATGACAAAGAATAGTTGTGTTATGATTCATGGGAAGGGTGGATTACGTAGATTTGCACTAGAATGTCAACTGAGTCAAATTTATCCCACATCCCCCAGTATCAATACCACCTTGATATCCGTATCAATGACGGGCAGGCTATAAATACTGCAAATAAATAAATCCAGCATCCAACATCCAGGTGATGGTGATGGTGATGATGATAACAGATTTGCTGCCATTTCGTGACACCTAAAATCAGCTGCCAGAGGCAGCTGCCTCCCTCTGCCAAACGGTAAGACCAGCCCTGCGTGGAGACTCTACTTGGTTAGAGTCCTGGAACCAGTAGTGGATGGTGGGCTGGTGTGGTGGTCAGGTTCACCAACTCTAGGGGGCTGAGGTGTCATCAGACCCTTCAGTATTCCTTAGCAGGGGGCTCAGCCCCCCAAACATTGAGGGGGTTCAGGAGGCCAAACCACCGAGCCTTGCACAGTGCGCCATCAAAAGCAGGCTCCTCCTGACTGCAAGAGAGAAGGAGCTGCAATTGTTGAAGCTGCACAGAACTGAGCAAAAGCTCCTTTCAAGGATACACCTTCTCCCACCAATGCATGTACGTTGGCCCAAGGCGGCACCTCTGGCGTTGGTAGTGCTTCCCTGACCTCCCAGAGGTGGAGTCAGTGCTGCTTACCAGGAGGGAGTCACTGAGCAGACGCAATTCTGGAGCCAATATAGCACTCCTTCTGGTGTGTTTGCACAGTGCCAACCACCCCACTGTTAGAATTCCTGCTCCATGATTGCAGTCATGGAATTGTTGTCTTTCACATGACGGTGTATGTTTTGACTCCACAGAGTGGGAAGTGATGGAGACAGGATGTTTGTGTTACTGTGTTCCGTGAAGTGGGACTACTGTCCTTTGTTCTTTTTCTCTTTGCTGTCTGATGCTAGAGAGAGAGGGAGCCACGTTGCAGTGCTCTGTGTGTGTTTATATGTAAATAAAGTAGATTAACCAAAATGCTGAGTTGCTGAGGTCTGTCACGCAAGGTGCGCAAACTCTGGATCCCTAAGTGTGCTGGTGTCTGTTGGCATCGGTCGCTGTGATGTTCGGGCAGAAGAAAGCTTCTGAAGCTCCCGAATGAAAGACCAGGAGGGAGAGAACATGCCAGTCGGGCATGTGTCTCTGCCAGGGTCCTACTCGAGTTTAGGCTGAACTCCTGACACCCACTGCCTTCTCCTTCCCACTCTCCCTCCTGGTGAGCCACTGAAGCTCCACTGGTGGGAGGTCAGGAAAGTTCCACACCTCACTACCTTCTGCTGGAACTCTGAATCCTTGCCCCATCTATCAAAATAGGCAGCCCTTTAGCAAGAGAATTAGGAATTCACACCCTTTTTTTTTAATAGGAGACTTGAAGGAACACTCTTGTGTCCTTAAAAGGTAACAAGTGAAGCCCTAGAAATGTTTTCCCCCTACGTGTCGCAAGTTGTTCTTTTTGCAGGGGGTCCCTGTGCCCTGTATTTCAAACATATCTCTGTTAGCACTGTGTGCCTGCCTCAGAGAAATCATACCTTGGAAAGAACAAAAAGGTTGAATGTTGTTTTAATTGAATTTGTTTTCCATTTATTTCCAAGCTGTCAAGGGAGGAGCCTTTTTCAAGCTCACACATTCTTTGATTTGTTTGTACCTGACGTCTATTATCCTAATAATGAGGCCCTTTTTTAAAAAAATGAACAAAAGAAGCAAGCTTTTGTTTATAATTATTTTTTTTCACTGATTGTATCAGTGAATGACATAAAAAAAACCTAAGATGAAAGGAACAGTATGCGTTTTTGATATCCAGCCCCAATTTGTTGCTGAAGCAATTTAGAAGTTTATTCCAATCAGTTGCGGCTAATAGATTCAGGGAAAGAGGAAGCCCCCTTTGAAACTAGTTTTTCCCCTTCTCTCCCTTCCCACCTATTTGCAATGGCGGCTGGTGTCCATTGGGGCTGGTAGGGCAGAAGGCAAGAAGGCCAACAATAGGTGGTACCAGAGCCAATGACAAGTAGAGCTGACGAATTCCTCACTTAAGAGCTTGGAGAGTCCCTACAGATCAGAGGAGGTGACACTAACCTAGATGGAATGGACAATGTTGTTGTTGTTGATGATGATGATGATTTAAAAAACAAACACTCAGGATTTGGCAAGTCTATGGAAGAAAAGAGTTCTGCTGTTGTAGATAGCCATCACCATTTAGGGTATCTCTACAATTCCCTAGCCCAGTGGTAGACAACATGATGTTCTCCAGATGTTGCTGAACCCATCCTTTAGTCTGAAGTAGTACCATCCAAAATGGACCTCACTATGTGATTTCACTGAATGATAGTCCCTTAAAACTGCAGTTCTGTACTAATATACCTGGGATTAAGCTGCATTAAACTCAGAGGGATTAACTTTCAGAGTAGACATGTATGCATAGCAGGGTAAGGTAAAAAAAATGGTAAAGGGCCCCTGGATGGTTAAGTCCTGTCAAAGGTGACTAAGTATAGCAGGGATGGGGAACCTGTGGACATCCAGATGTTGTTGGACTCCAACTCTCATCAGCCCCAGCTACAATGGTCAATGGTCAAGGATGATGGAAGTCGTAGATGAGCAACATCTGGAAGGAGCCTCCTTTGCTACCTCAACACTAGGGCTTGTATCAAATGCCAGGGCAGTTTCATTGAAGTCAATGGACACGACTGCCTTGGGTTCATTAATTGCAATCTCTGCACTAAGTACAGTGGTACCTTGGGATAGGTACTTAATTCGTTCTGGAGGTCCGTTCTTAACCTGAAACTGTTCTTAACCTGAAGCACCACTTTAGCTAATGGGGCCTCCTGCTGCTGCAGCGCCGCCGGAGCACGATTTCTGTTCTTATCCTGAAGCAAAGTCCTTAACCTGAAGCACTATTTCTGGCTTAGTGGAGTGTGTAACCTGAAGCGTATGTAACCTGAAGCGTCTGTAACCCAAGGTACCACTGTAAAACAATGTTGCCTTCAACCCTGGCACATTCCCTGGCTGTGTTTTTCATGGAAATATCTGAGAGAGCCAGTCCTGATTTCATCCTTAAGCTGAAGGTTTGTTCTCATACCCCAGGAGCAAGTTTGATGTCCCCTTGGGCCTGCCTTGTGCCATCGCCTAACTAACCCATCCCTCTGAGCTCTTTGTGGAGAGAGAGACACAAAACCAAACTGCTCTCTCCCGATCCATCCTCTCTGTGTGCTGCCTCCCCATTTGGCATGCTCATTATGACGCTTTTCTATCTTAATATATAGCATTATGTAAAATTATATTAAAGGTGATACTATCACAAAGAGAAAATGAAGGACTTTCTTGTTCCTTAACAATCCCCTTTGTGCTAAAGACAAAAAAAGCCGTAATCTTTTCCTTTTGTGAGATTTGATTTATGCTTTCTTTGTGGGCTTTAAAACACTTTAATTTTCTTTTCTTTCTTTCTTTTTTTTAAAAAAAGAACATATAGTTCAAAACTTCTTGGTTTAATAAAAACTTGCAGGTGTGGGATTGTGCGATTTTTTCACACAGCCTAGAGATGTAGAGTGGGCTTTTATCCAGTGATGTCACATGAATGGGGCGAAGGCGGGTGGGCCGGCATGAGATGAACAAAGACCTTTCCTCTGTGATCCAGGAACATTAGGAACATAGGAATGATAAAATTGCAGAGCTGGAAGCCTTTAAAAGAGGCCTAGGAAAATTGGTGGAGGTGGTTATCAATGGCGACTAGCCAGCGATGGTATCTATGTTCCGTTTTCACTGTCAGAGGCCGTTTGCCTCTGAATCCCAGTTGTTGAGAATCAAACACAGAGAGAGTGGCTGCTGCGTTTGGGTCCTGCTTGCTTCCCATAGGCATCTGGCTGGCTGCCGTGACAACCAGATGTTGAACTAGCTGGTACATTGGTTTGATACAGGAGGGCATTCCTTATGGACAGGGCATCTAGTGCAGGGGTGGACTTTGGTAATATGGTGCCCTGAGTGAGAGCAAATTCTGGCACCATCCTCCATGTGTAGATTTCTATCATCATCACCAATATCATCCTCATGCATCCCCTTGCCTCAACTCCCTGTGAGGGGGAACTGCCTGCACTGCCCAAAATCTGGCACTGATCTAATGGGGCAGGACCCAATTTATGTGAGTTCTGGGCCCTCTTGCTAATTTGTTTCCTGGAACTGGATAGGGTGATCTAGGGTGGCGGCATCTTGTAAAACCCCTACCCAATGCAGCAACCACAGCAGATGGTTCTCCAGGGGAAGACCCCAGCGGAAGACCTCCAGCAAGGAAAATGTCTTCTGCTGGGACTATTTGCCTACCTAGCCCAGGCAATATGGTCTACTGCTGGAACTGCCAGTGGTTTTTGAGGGTTTCAGGCAGTGTTGTTTCCCAGCACCTGTGATTGATCCTTTAAAAAAAACCCCAAAAAACTGGAGATGCTCAGGATGTTGGTTCTCCTGTACGGATGGTGCAGCAGATACCACAGTGGTCCTTCTCTCTCTGCTCTGAGCATCTCCTTGTCCCCAGTGGAATTAGCATACACTTGGAGGTCTCGCCTCAGTTACAATCTGAGCCATAATTTCCTAAGGACACTGTCAAGGACACTGAACTTGATAGGGATCGCTTCTGAGAAAATCTGTTTGGGATTAAAGTGGCTCAAAGAGCAGCTTTGTGTGATTTTATCTGATCCACCACATTTGCATCCCAAGCCTTCCTCCAAGGGCAGTAGGATGGGCATGTTTCCTACACTGCAGAGGACAGTCTTCTGTTTGAAGGGCTGTCTAGTCCAGGCATCACCAAACTCAGCCTTCCAGATGTTTTGGGACTACAATTCCCATCATCCCTGACCACTGGTCCTCTTAGCTAGGGATGATGGGAGTTGTAGCCCCAGAACATCTGGAGGGCCGAGTTTGGGAGTGCCTGGTCTAGTCCAAGTCCATTTTAAAGATGAAGAATCCTAAAAAGGGAGAGGGAGAGGGAGAAGGGGGTTGGAGAGAGAGCAGGTACCACACCACCACTTAGCATGGGAAGTAAACTGAGCAGGAATACAGGTCTCCTGAGCAGGAATACAGGTCTTCCCCGCTACGGTGAGATGCATTGCATTTCTGTCTAAAGGAGAATCATTATTACCAAACTGGCATCTGTCGTTGGCATCCTTCTGTCTTGGGAGACAATGGAGTGTGCCTTTGTACATGAGGTCAAGCTGTTGGACGGTTGCAGTGCCTGCTGTGGCTATAGAGACATGTTTTGTTGCAGTTGGGGCAGATAAAGGCATCCAGTTGTGCTGCTACAGATGCACCATGGTGCTTCTTCTCTCCTCCCAGGAGTCATTTCTCCTCTGGTACTGCTATGGATACACGACTTGACTGTCTGTTTCCGGGCACTGCGGCTGTCTGCAAGGGATTCCCACAAGGCAGGGGTGATGTTACCAACCTTCACGTCATGTTTCCAGACATCCTTGTAATGCAGAGTTGGTCTGCCAACTGGCCTGGTGCCGGAAGCCAGCTTCCTCCCAGGCGCACGTCCTCGGGGATCCTGCCATCCTTCCATTCTGTGTGAACATGACCAAGCCAGTGCAGAGGTCGCTGAGTGTGAACATGCTGGGATTGTGGGCTTGGGAGAGCACATCTTTGTTTGGAATTTTGTCCTGCCATGTAATACCCCAAATCCTCCTGGCACAGCTCATCTGGGAAAGTCTTTTGTCTGAAGCCCCAGAGAGTCCCTGCCACTCAGTGAAGACTGTTAGAATTCCTGCTCCATGATTGCAGTCATGGGATTGTTGTCTATCACATGACGGTATATGTTTTGACTCCACAGAGTGGGACGTGACAGAGACAGGATGTTTGTGTTACTGTGTCCTGTGAAGTGGGACTACTGTCCTTTGTTCTTTTCTCTCTGCTGTCTGATGCTAGAAAGAGAGGGAGCCATGTTGCAGTCCTCCGTGTGTGTTTATATGTAAGTAAAGTAGATTAGCCAAAATGCTGAGTTGCTGAGGTCTGTCACGCAAGCTGCGAAGACTCTGCGGATCCCTAAGTGTGCCGATGTCTGTTGGCATCAGTCGCTGTGATGTCCGGGCTGAAGAAAGCTTATGAAGCTCCCAAACGATCGACCAGGAGGAAGGGAAAATGCCAGTCGGGCATGTGTCTCTGCCAGGGTCCTACTCGAGTGTAGGCTGAACTCCTGACAAAGACAACACCAGGCAAGGTGGACTAATGCTCTGACTCAATGTAAGGCAGCTTCCTATGTTCCTTTTTTTAAAAAAATTCTTTTTATTAAGTTCTTTTTTAAGACAAAAACATACAAAGTAAAGGAACAAAAACATACAAACGAACAACGAAAAAAGAAAAAGAAAAAAGACAAAGCAACACATAAAAAGAGAAAACAAACGGAAAACAAACCAACATCAATTCATAACGTAACATTGATTGACTTCCCTCCATCTCGGTTTTGGGCTATGTAGCCACAATACCTTTCTGCGGTATCATTTTACAACCTCTATCTATACATCGCAGGCTTTATGTTACACCTACTGTGATTTTAATATTTCCTAAATTTGCTTCTATGTATGTTATGAATTTGTTCCAATCGTCCCCAAAATCTTTTCACTTCTTCACAAGTCCACCACATGTGGTGGAAATCACCCTCTTTTGTTTTGCATTTCCAGCATGTTTTGTCTCCGGTCTTATACATTTTTTCCAATTTCACAGGGGTGATGTACCATCGGTACATCATTTTTTCCATATTTTCTCGGAGTCCAACACATGCTGTGAACTTCATATCCTTGTTCCAAAGTTTCACCCACCTATCGTAATCTAGGTTGTATCCAAGATCTATGGCCCATTTGACCATAACTTCCTTTATCTCTTCATCCTTAGTATCCCAATCTAGTAATTGATTATACATTTTGGATAAGAGTTTGGAATTACCTTCTAGTATTTCCACCTGGTGTCTGGACTTTTTCATTCATCCCTGTTTTTTTATGTTCGTTCCATAAGGCATTAATTTGGTGAAATTGTAGCCAGCCCATTAATTTATCCTTTAAATCTTCATATGTTCTGATTTTCCATCCTTTATCTGATCTTACCAGGAGGTCTTCATAGGTCCATCTTTGACTTTCCATGTTTAATTTTTTGATTGTTAGAATATCAATTGGTGATAGCCACCAGGGGGTGTCTTTTTCTATAAGTCTTTTATTTCTGTCCCATACCTCAAGCAACGCTCCTCTGATGATATGGTTAGAGAAGCCTTTGTGTACCCTCTCTTTATTGTGCCACAGATATGCATGCCAACCGAATCTGGTGTTAAATCCCTCTAAATCTAACAAATCTGTGTTTTTCAAAACGATCCATTCTTTGATCCAGATAGCACGAGGCCTCATAGTATAGTTTTAAGTTCGGGACGGCAAACCCTCCTCTATCTCTTCGATCTGTAAGTAGTTTAAATTTAATTCTTGCTCTTTTGCCCTGCCAAATAAATCTGGAAAGGGTTTTCTGCCAATCTTTAAACATTGTCGTACCTCTAATCACCAGGATGTTCTGAAATAAAAACAGCAGTCTTGGAAGAATACTCATCTTAATTGTGGCCATTCTTCCTGACCAGGAAAGTTTTATCCTACTCCAGGTATCTAAGTCCTTTTTAATCTCTCTCCAGGTCCTAATATAGTTATCTTCTACTAAGTTTATGTTTTTCGTGGAGACCGAAATACCCAGATATTTCACCTTTTTCACCACCTTGATTCCAGTTTGCAGCTCTAACTGGCTTCTTAAATCTTCAGCCAAGTTCTTTGTCAACATCTTGGTTTTAACTTTATTTAGCTTAAAACCGGACAGTTTTCCAAATTCTTCTAGTAGCTCTAGAACTTTACCGATACCTTTTACTGGATCTTCTAACGATATTACCAAATCGTCGGCGTAGGTCTTTAATTTATACTCTTTTGCTCCAATTCTGATTCCTCTTATTTCTGATGTTTTCCTTATTTTATTTGTAATTACTTCCAGCACCATAATAAATAAGAGAGGGGACAGAGGGCACCCCTGTCTTGTACCCTTTGAAATCACAAACGAATTAGTTAAATTATTGTTAATAATTAGTTTAGCCCTTTGGCTCGAATAGATTGCTTTTATTCCTTCCATGAAAGGGCCCTCTATCCCTACCCTCTCCATACATTTTAATAAAAACCGCCAGGATACATTGTCAAAAGCCTTTTCGGCGTCGATGAAAATTAATGCCGCGGGGATATCGTTCTTGAATTCCAAATATTCAATAATATTTATTATGTGCTTTACGTTGTCTTTTAATTGCCTGTTAGGGAGGAATCCGGCTTGGTCTTTATGAATGGATTTTATTAAGTATTTCTTAAGTCTGTTCGCCATTATTTCTGCGAAGATTTTGTAATCGTTATTAAGTAGTGATATCGGTCTATAATTTCTTATGTCCAATTTGTCAGAGTCTAATTTAGGTATTAACGTGATGTGTGCCTCTTTCCAGGAATCAGGTATCCTCCCTCATTGTAGAATATTATTCATTACGTCGCATAGTACCGGGGCCAGATACTCCTCTAAAACTTTGTACTACTTTGATGACAGACCATCTGGACCTGGTGTTTTCCCCAGTTTCATCTTCTTATTGCCTCCTTGATCTCATCTGCTGTTATAAATTTGTTTAATTGGGTTTTTTCTTCATCCGTCAAGTGTTCTCCGTTTCTTTCCAGATATTTTTCTATTTCTACTATGTCCTCATCTTCCTTTTTATACAGGTTTTCATAGAATTGAAGGAACTTTTCCTTTATTTCATTGGGATCTTCTAATATTTGCTCTTCTGTTTTTATTTTGTTGATCACATTTCGTTTTTTTCCATTTTCTTAGTTGCCACACCAGTAGTCTCCCCGTTTTATTTGCGGATTCAAAATATTTTTGCTTCATTGATTTAATTCTCCATTCTATTTCTTGACTTATTAATGTTGAATATTGTGTTTGCAACATTTTAGAGATTTGTTTAGTCCTTTCATCCCTGGGGTTTATTATTAATTTTTTCTCACAATCTCACAGCTTCCTATGTTCCTATGAGGGTGGGCCCATGGGCCTTGCTCTCCTACTAGCTACTTCGCCACCCTTGGCATAGCTAATTGCTCTTCTGTCTCCTGTGGAGGTGCATCATGTAAGTAAACATGTCTTGGTTGGCTGGTCTCTGGCTCAGCCCCTGCAGAGCTCTTCCCATGGCTTGCTGCCTGCGTACCAGTCTCCGCACATAATGATGCTCTAGCTAAGTGTCGGTCCACTGGCCTCCCAGAATGCCCGGGTTCCCTGCATCCTGCTGCCATCGTTTAGTGCTGATTTAGAGGCTGCCATTTACAACCCTCCCACTCCTGCCTTCGCTCCCATTTCCTGCTGTTCCCTCTGCAAATGATGATGCATTGCCCTAGCCAAGTGCCTGGGGCTTCAGATTCTCTCTGAAATATAATCAGAAGAAAATAAGGCCATTACATTTAAAAGGCAGAGTACATCATCAGCGCAGCAGTGATAGCCATGATTAAAATTAAGTCCCAGTGAGATCATAAAATGCATCTTGATTTTTTTATATATTTTTAAAAGAAACCTAGATTTGTTACCAAAATAAAAATTACAAAATAAGGGGGGAAGCATTGGAATTACTGGACATATTTTTAAACAGATGAATCTGATGAAATACATTAGCCATACTAAATTCTTGCTCTAATATGGATTTAAAAAAAAAGTAACTTCCCTCCCCGTCTCAAAACTATAAGCAGGCAATCAATATTATTGTTTCGGCCAGCTTGGAAGCCACTATTCAGCTGTAAGCAGAAAATTAAAACTTAAACACATGGAGTAATATATGAGATAAGGGCAATAAGTGGATTTGACTATTCATCAACACAGTT